TAAATTTTAATAAATTATAAATTAATAATGATAATTACGCTCTCGAATGACTCATTAATGAGCCTCAGCAAATGGACAACGTTCTTGTCATTGGCGAGGTCTAAGGGGGTCTTTCCAGTTTCGGAAATGGCATTGTACACCGCACCGTTAGCCAACAAGGCTTTTAACACCTTAGGATGGGAAAACTTGGCAGCGTAATGCAACGGGGTAAGACCTTGTTTCCCAACCACATTAGGATTTGCACCATTTTGCAGGAGAATATTTACGATTTCATCATAGCCCTACGAAAATTTATAAGAAAAATTTACAACTTTATAAATCAATCAAAATTCAAGTAAAAAACAGTAAAATGTATTTACGAAATGATTTTTGCAATTTTTTTTTTTTTTTTTTTCATATTATTCAGTATGAATTTGGTAACATTTAATCAGTAAACAATATTATTTAATTCATGTAACTTTATCTCTTTAATTTCATTTTATCAAAAATAAATTATAAAAAGTTTTTTTTTTTTTTTAATCTCAGCCATTTACAGCACGGATCACCATAGCTTAAGATTTAAAAGTTATACTACCTTCCAGGATGCGTGATGCAGAGGCGTGACATTATCAACGCTCCTCGCATTCACGAAGGCCTTCGCCTTGATGCACTGCTGCACTTCTGCACAGTTATTTTGCTTGACAGACTTGAAGAGGCGTTCAGTGGTGTGAAAAAGGTTGATGACATCATCGTTTTCGGTTATCTCAATCGGCTTGCGGCCTAGAGCATCCACAACATTATAGAATGCTCCGTACTCCAGGAGCACTTCAATAAACTCTTTGTAGCCAGAGATCGAGGCCTTTGCGAAAAAATATAGTTTAACTTTACACAATGAACAACTAGGTTATTTGAATTTTTTTATTATGCTAAAAAATGTATTACTAAATGAAGAGGGGTGGTCTCGTTACAGTCTTTGGCGTTGACATCAGCACCACGCTCGAGTAGGTACCTGGCAACGTTTGAGTGTCCGCCAAGACAAGCTGGGATGAAAATGAATTGTATTATTTAATTTATAAAAAAAAAAAAAAAAAAAAAAAAAAAAAAAAAAATGTGTAAGTAATACAACACAAAATAAAAATCACAACATTCTAAAATACAACGTAATATTGTAATTATTATAATCACCATAATGTAGGGGCGTTTGGTTGTTTCTTCCAAAGTCGTCGACCGGTAGGCCGTAGTCAACATAAATTTTGACAACTTCAACGTGGCCTCGCTTGGCTATAGTACACAAAGTGATTATAATAGTGTACCAAAGACTGAATAATATACTGTAATGAATTTAAAACTCGCCTGCTTCGTGGATCGGCTTGGAATCGAACACGTCTCTCGCGTGTACGTTAGCACCGTTGTTAATGAAGTATTTTGTGATTTCGCTGTTGCCTTCCTGTGCCTATGCAATTAATTACGCGTGAAATCAAAAATGCGTGAAAAAAAAATAATACATGTAAATTGGATAACGTAACGAAGCTGATTATCGAAAGATTGTGATCAATTAACAATATTACGATTGTAATTTATTAGAGAGTATTATGAGAATAACAGTAGAGTAACAAAGAAATCGTCAAATTTATTGTTTGAAGAATTTTTTTTTCTCGATATTTTTAGAAAAGGAAGTATTTTTCGACATCTACGTTAAAGGTGTACTGTCTTTACTTAACTAAAATTTAAAAATGCTTAGTCGTAGTGTATGCGAGATCTTTCTTTTTTTTTACACAAACAAAAATTTATGAAGATGGAACAGGTAAAATTTTCCCTATGCTCGACCATCGCAAAGTATTTCACTCCTTACTAACGTGCTTTATTTAAGACAAGCGTCTTAGCTAATTGACATCCATATCATATTTTACTTGCATTCAAAAAATCTAAGGATTAAATATTCAAAGATATTATTATTGTTAATATAAGGGGTACCGCAATGTGTAGGAGACTGAAGTCGTTGACGCCTTGGCTGTTGATGTTAACTTTGGTGTGATGAAAAAGAATCTTGGCAACCTTAGACGAGCCGTAAGCAATGGCCATCTCCAGAGGGGTCCGGCTCTCGTCGTCCTTGATGTTTGCATCGACGCCGTGGCGCAGTAAGATCTCCAATACGTCGACATTACCCTCGCAGGATGCTATGTGTAGCGGGGTCAGGCCCTGCGTGTCGAATGGACAAGAGCATACGCGAAGAGTGTCATCATTTTTATGAAAATCGAAAATTAAAGGGTTATTCGGTTAATTTCGCCCCGACGTTGTTTTAAAAATTGTTTTTAAACTTGCTGTCTCGCGCGAGAGGAGAACTTAATCGTCGTCATTTTTCGCACGATAATTGAATGACGGCCGCGTTAAATGTACCGAACAAACCTCCAATACCAGCGAACGAGCGAATAAGTTATCTGGATTTCAATTCTCTAAAACAAAGACATTTTTCTGTCGGTTATTAGCGATAGAAAAATTACGTGAAAGATGTTTTTTTTTTTTTTTATTACATTGATCTTAAACAGTATTTTAACTCCATTTCCGAGCGAGCAATTACGAGTTATGAACTTTTTCTAGTCGAGTTGGTAAAACCATTCAAAGATCTAAATTTACAGGTCTTTGTTACATTACAGCAATTTATTTTTTAGTATTAAAAATATCATTTCAACATTGCATGTAACAGGGATACTACATATTGTATTGGAATACGTGCCGAAGAAGAATGCATAAAGAATTTTTTTAACATACCTCCTTGATGGTTGCATAAATATCGGCACCATGGGCCAACAATATCGCAACAATATTAACGGAGCCCATGGAAATGGCGACGGATAAGGGCGTCACGTTACTCCTGTTAGTGGCGTTAACGTCAACGCCACTAGCTAGGAGTGCCTCGGTAACTTTCCTGTAGTTGCGCGCGACAGACAAGTGTAGAAGCGAATTTTGATCCATGTACTTAAGATTGACCAGCGCCTTGTTTCGCACAAGAACCTCGACAATGTCCGCGAAGCCCGACAACACCTAATACACGTTTTATCATCATTATCATCGGTAGCTCGCCCACAAGAGAAATATTAGCTTCACTCTCGCGAGTAAAGGCCAAAATGATTTTTCAGACTGTTAATACTCTGTGAGAAAATAATACGGTTATGATTTATAAATTGCCAAGGTGGTGGACCCAATATCATCGAGGTTGCTCAACACGCTAATAATCAACTGTTGGCGAGTCTAACATTGCATTTGAAGGGATTTTGACTCAGTGGTCAGCGTTCTTTGGACACATCAGCAATGGGACTATACTATGGGAGGCGAGGGTTCGATTTTCGGTGGACACACTCGGAGTTATTTCGGAGCTGTTTTCAACGAGAAAAGTATCCTGGGTATCCCAGTGAAAGGATGTCACGTAGGAACACAGATATTACTTTCACACAGAGATGGAGAAATTCCCCCTCTTAGTGCAAGATTTTACAATGGCCATTTGCGATAATTGCGGTAATAAGATTAAAAAAATTTGTATGAAACCAAAAACATACCGCATAGAGTATTGGCTGGCCGTTCTCGGCGTTCACGTCCGCCCCGCTATTTATGAGCATCTCAACGATTTCTGGATCGCTGTTTTTTACCGCCGATGATAGGGTCGTGCAGCCGTGCTTGTTCTTCGTGTTGATTAGCACCTCGTTACCTATCAAAATCTCTACAACCTTTTTGTACCCACTCTCGGCAGCCATCTGTACCGCGGTCATTCCGCTGCTGTCCCTCGCGTTAATCTCAGCCGCATTATTTATCAGCGAGTCTGTGATACTAACGTATCCCAATTGTGCGGCCAAGTGCAGGGGTTTCATCTTTTTCGAGTCCGTCGCATTGACGTTGGCCTTCTTTTTGATGAGCAGGTCAACCTATGATTTTCGAGAATCGACAAATTCACGTTCATCATCAACCAAACCGCACAATTTTGAATGTACAAATGGTTTTTCATGCGCAAATATTTTTCACTCAATTTCAATTAGATGCGGTTATTTCGTGAGGAATAAGAGAATCAATTGATTAATCATGGCACGTGTATCATTCTATGAGAAATATATACGGGAACGCTGGATTGAAAGCATTTCTCCTTACTGGGCACTATATATTAGTAGGTCATTTCGGCTGCGTTAGTGTTCAAATAACTTGCTGAGGCCGTGCTCTTGATTGGGAAAAAAAAAAAAAAAAATTCGAAAAGCAATCGAAAATTAACAATGGTTACAGGCTTGTTTTGGGTTATACTCGTTTTTACGTAACTTTGCGGTGTTTACCAGTTTATTCTCATAGTTACAGCAACGTTAGTACAATTTTAATATCACCAGTAGGATTTGTATGGGGAGCCTAATTTAGAGTATCAAATGTTTACTACAATGTATAAGAATATGAGTTCTTGTTGGTACCTATATTATCGGTTTTGGGTCACTTGTATTTGTAATATTGGTGTGCCGTATTCAATCCGTACATGCTCGGAAGGGTTTTTTTCGAGGCATTGTTGATTCCCACCGTTTCGATGGTACGGTAAGCATTAGACCTCGATACTAGATTTATCTTTTCCTTTACAATTGGATGGCGCGGTAAGGCATTGTTACACCATACTAAATAGGAGAGGTGCCAAAAAAAAATATAGTCAGAGCCGAGATTTGGACTACGGCCCTACAGATTTTAGAGCGAGCGCTGTACCATATGAATCTTCGAGAGCTCGTAATTAAATAATAATATTGATGATCCAATTAAAGTAGCTCTAATTATTAAACAATTACTATTCAAAACTTATCACTAATTACTAGCGCTGGAGCTACCTTCGCGTCCTAATTGCATAAAATTTTCAAGTACCATTAATCTTGTGTACTGTGTATAGCATATCTCAAGTATTTTATTTTGATTGATGATTTGCATTAAATGTGCTTACCATTTCTGCATCGCCGTTCGTGGCAGCAATGTGTAACGTCGTCGCACTCGTGTTGGTACGCGCATGTAAGTCAGCCCCATTTTTTAACAGCAACTCGACAATATCTTTATGACCCTTATCAAGTAAACAATTAAATATTAGGTATGACGCAATAACTTTACCAAAAAAAGTAGCTAATAAATCTGGTTTAAAATACACTCTTTTTTCATAGAAGAAAAAAATTTGTATTGAAAAGTGCCGTTAAAGTTTCTGAGGGAAACTGGATATTAAACGGGGTTTAAGTTAGAGAAAGTGTAAACAATATACGTTACCTTATCCACAGCTGCCAGTAGTGGTGTAAATCCTTCGGTATCTTTGACGTCGATCTCAACACCCTTTGCCAATAGCAACTCAACGATCTCTATTTGCCCAACAGCTGCTGCCACGTAAAGAGGCCCAACATTCATAATTTGGGCGTGAACGTCCGCGTTGTGCTCGATCAAGTAATAACTGAGATCCTTGAAGCCGAACTCGATGGCCACTACGGTTTGATTATCATGAACAATTTTTATCAATCGCGATTTACTCGTGGATTTTTTGGCAACACCCCCCCCCCCAATACACGCGGATTCGCATTTCTCAACCAACTTCTAAATTAATCTTAACTAACGTCAAAGTTTTACCGTGCAGAAGGGGGTTGCTCGCAACGTTGATTCCGTGTCGGAAAAACACGTCGACTGTTTGCAGATGACCACTACGGACCGCCAGGTGCAACGGGGTCAAGTTGGAGCTCGACATGGCCATCGGCTTGGCACCCTTCTTCAGTAACATGTCAACGAGATCTGCGCGACCTTCCTTTGCTGCGTAATGAAGAGGAGTGTACAAACAGTTGTTGTACGAGGCGTTTGGGTCAGCGCCGTTTTTTATCAGGAGCTCGGCGATGTCTTTGAAGCCGAATTCAACCTATGGCATCGATTCATTTCAAAACATCAACAACAATAACAATATTGATGGTATTTTTCATAATAGTAGCCACTAATGACAAAAGTCGTTATTATTTTTGTTTAAAAACGTTCAAATAGATCGGTAGGGAGACCGGTTTGTAATTTATTTTTATTGCAAGTTAAAATAGCGTAACAAAGAATACTCTCTCTTTTTCAATGTAAAGTTACACAGGACAAAGCAGAGGGTGAAGAGTGAAATATTGGTTCTTTAAATCGCACCAAGTCTATTTCCGAGCTTTCTTTCACCCTTAGAAGATTGACTGTCACGTGACGGAAATTGTATTCGTAATTAAATTGGTTAGAGTTGACCACGTGATTTTGAAATACAATATGAAAGAAAATTGAGAAAGAAGCTGTAGGAAAAATAACATTAGGAGCTACAAAGACTGGTACAAAAAATTCAAATTGTGTAAGGAGCAGAGTTATAAAAATAAATGTATTACTGACCGCGAGGTGTAAAGGCGTTGCGCCATCTTTGCATTTGGCATTGACGTTTGAACCCTTGGTAATGAGGATCTTGACGATTTCCAGGAAGCCTCGGAGAGAGGCGAGATGAAGGGGAGTTGTACCTCGCTCGCTGATCGCGCAAATGTTAGCTTTGAGCTTGAGAAAATAATTGACTAGATCCACCTGTCCCTTATCAGCGGCAAGGTGAAGAAGACTGTACCCACTGTACGCCTTGTTTTCGTCGACGTTCATCTCTTTGTTCATCAACATCATTACTGCTTCTTTATGGCCATTTCTAATGCCGTAATGAAGGGCGGAGAAGCCGTTTTTGTCTATCACGCTCTGCTGTACCTTGTACTTCAGCAACATTTCAAGTACATCTTTGTGTCCGTTTTTCGCTAAAATGTCATAGTTAACAGAAAAAAATATCAGCGGTACAATACAATATTCATAATTTAGTTTATTAATATTACGCTACTAGGTGGTAAGGAGCAACTTTAAATAAACAACAAGTACTCTTCCAACAAAAATTTGCGAATAAGTTAAGTTCAATATCTAGCAATGAATCAATTAAAACTAAATGAAATTTTTTTTTTTTTTTTTTAGACAAGTTCCACGCCTATGCTTCGTGTATATACTTTTTATTGCCTTGAACCCATACATCTATACAATTTTCCGAGTTGTTGTCGAACAAGTTGAATAAATTATAAAATAGTGAAACGCAAAAGCAGGAAGAAAAGTGACTGGCATCGGGTAAACGGCAAAGTAAAACAATAGGGGGTAACGTCACAAAAACAATAAATATACCGGCATAGTGCAGCGGGGTCCTGCCATCGTTGTCCTTTTCGTTGGCATAAAGGCGCTTCTCTTTGATCAGCAGCTGAACGATGTGCTTGTTACCGCTCATCGAGGCGATGTGCAGCGGACTCTGGCCACTCCTGTTCTTGACGTTCACGTCCGTGTTACTTTCCAGCACGAACCTCATGACCTCGATGTTGGGACTCTTGGCGGCAAAGTGCAGCGCTGTCCACGAGTCGACGTTTTTGCCATTGATCTCAGCACCCCTGGCGATGCAGCTCTTCACAGCCTCCAGGTCGCCGTGCTCCAGAGCAGCGAACATCTTCTCTTGGCTGTCAACGACGTTCAGAGCTTGGTTGAATCGAACTTTCACTTTCACTGGATCGTCCGCGACGAATTTACCGATCTTCTTACTGCTCTCGATCGTGTCTTCGGCTATGAGCTTTTTCGCGTTTAGGAACATGGTGATCGACGGATCGGACAGTAACACGTCCACGAGCGTGTTGTCGTGGGCAAGATGATTGCGCAAGCACTTGCCGATGAGGGTAGGCGCGTTTTCGTCCACAAATAGTAAGTTGTTCTCCAGACCCTTGGAGCTCCCTAGAATCGACAATATGTCGAGAATCAGCATCTCCAATACGGCCAGGAGCTTCTCGCCACCTTTGCTCATGGGAAACTGCAGTTCGTTGTTGATTAGGCTGATGTTCAAGATGTTCTTCAGTTCAACCAACTTGGACGCTAGCTGTTTCGACTTGTCGTCCTCGGACAGTGAGCAATCGTTGCAAGGCTGCCTGCTGTCGTCGATGAAAGAACTGTTGTTCAGCTTTCCCTGGAGATCGTCGATCCAGTCGTTAGTTTCGCCCTCAAACTTCGCAACGTAAATAATCTCGCAGGCCAGTCGGTTGATTTCTACGAGATTCTCGCATTTCGTCTTGAGCTTGTTGGTCCGTGCGATTTCTGCCGCTAGTTCCGCGAGCTGCTTCAAACAGTGGGACTCGATTTTTGACTTCATGCTCTCGAGCGTCATTTCTGCCGAGTGTTTGGTCAGTTTGATGTCGTAGTCGTCGGTATTCTTGTCAAGCATGTCCGAGTACAGAACGTTTATCATTCTTGCGTCCAAGAGGTAGTCCTTTTGGCTCTTATCTAACGTTTTCTTCTCAAAACTCATGATTTCCTGCATTTTTTTTAACATTTGGGTTTCGAGACTGGATTTTTCGATGACGTTTTCCTTTAGTTCTTTGATTAGTTTGTCAAGGATGTCGTGCTCCATTACGTTCAAATTTCTAAAGTCCACGGTATCGAGTTCGAAGGCGCGAAACAGATGTGCGATTTCCTTCAAGTCGTCTAAACTATCGCTAGCTACAATTTTTCGGAGGAGGACTTTGATCGCTTTGATTTTACTTTTGTACAAAATATAAGTAATAATACTACAGGTTTTTTGAATGTCCTTTTGGATAGTAATAAAGTACTCCATGTCTTCGTTATCTTTGATCTCTAGTCTTTTGGTTAAAGCGTAAACGTGCGAAGGTGAATTTCGCAGATTAATAAATATTTTTCTAGTGTTATTTGGTAAGGATAAAAGTAACAGTTCACTCGTAAAGTTTGACAACTTGGGTGATTCCAGAGTATTTTTCAAATACTCTCCAATAAGCTGTAAACTTCGGATGATGGCCAGTTGGCCTTGTCTCTCCTTAGGATCGGCAATTGTTGCCAACTGTACGTAATTGCTTATTTTCTGTAAAGAATGAATATCTCTAATGTCATGGTAGTCATTATATAATTCGCTAAGCTTTGGGTTATCTTTAGTGATTTTGGCAACAATTTTGTCGCGGTTGACTTCGGGAAGAACAGCTAAATCTTCCACACGATAATTTTCTAAGCTTTTTTTCAGTTCATCAAGTTTTTTCTCAAAACTCGTTAAATGTTTCAATATTCTGCTCCTACTTAGTACGACTCTATAAAATAAGTTGACCTCTTGTCTCTTAATGTACGAAGACACAAAACTAATTAAACAAAACTCCATCTCTTCCCAAGGTAAACTGTCGTATGTTGATTTTAACTGTTGTTTTAAAACCGAAATGTTTTGTGCGATAAATTTTGCGACAAATAAAAATCTATCATCCACCTGAGGTATTTCTTTCAGTAACCTAATACTCTCTAACACTAACACTATTCTTTCCTTAATTTTACTAAGTGAAATTACTTTGGATGATATGTTATCACATTTGGAAGTATCAGAATTAAATCGAAGATGAACCAATTTATCTTCAACATAGAGTTCCATCTCCTTAGTCAACACCACATTTTTCAACCTTAACTCTTCGTAAGCTTTTGATAAAATTGTATCTAACTTATCTAGGTTGCAAACAAAATAATTGCCTGGCCATTTGTGAATAAGTATGTCAGTCAACTCGATATTGTTTGATCGCAAGGCATAGTAAAATGCTGTATGACCAGCTTCATCAACATCGTCTGGAACATATTCTGTTTTACAGTTCAAAGTAAAGTTTCTTAAAATAGTAACATTATTAAGCACGTATTTCATAATATTAAAACTATTATGTTTAGAGATAAAAATCAACAAATTTGTACTTTTCGAAACATTGAGCACATTAGCCTCATTGTAATAAAAGGATATCAAATTTTCACGACTCTCCGAGTCAGTGATATAACTAAGAAAACTAATTAAACGTTCAAAATTATCGACATTATCTCCTATTATAGCTTTTCTCAGTTCAGATAGTAGTTGCAGGTAAAGTTGTTTAGCTTTTACTTTATCACCGTAAAACTTTTCATACTGCTTGTGAAATTCTTCCTTCGAGTTGTGTAAACGTGATAAAAAACGTTTATTTTCTTGATAATTGTTGCCATTTTGTTTTGATTCCATGATTTCTATACAGTATATTCATTGAAAAATTCTTGTACATGCATGTAAAAAAGCCGCGTCCTCAGATTTTATAATATTGTGCATATTCGTTTTTCTTCTGAACTGCTGTTAAATTTATGCTTGCAATTTTTCTATGCTGCACTGAAAAAAAAAAAAAAAAAATCTGTTGCATTTAATTTTTATTGTGATTCTTAATTGAAAAGTGTAAAAAACTTTTGATTCTTCCTTATGTTGGAAACAAAAAATTATAGCATATAAATCATTTTTAAGCATTTACTGTAGTTACTATTTTTATCAGAAAATTATTAACATCATTGAATACTAATTTTCAAAACTGTTTAAAATTAACACGTCTGTTTTAATTGTTTTAATAAAGTTAACAATGGAAAATGAAAACCGAAGGTAATATAAGTATAAATTGTATGTCATCTGAGCAAAAGATTACACAGAAATTTGGATTTTTACAAAAATTCTCTATCAGTGCAATAAAATAGTCAGTATCTGTAACTAACTGTTAAAATCAACAATAATTCTTAAAATGGTAAAAAACCATTGCCTTTTATTTTTTATTTTTGAAGTAAAGTATCAATTTCGATTTAAAATAAACGAATCAAACGCACGTACTTACACAAAAAAAAGTTTATATGAAAAAAATTATTCTACAGCACACACAAATGGCACTAAAAACTGAAATTCATGCTCCGGATCAATAGATACGAAATTCCGCGGGCGCGACCACGGAACCCTTATAAAAAAAATTAATGCACCGATTTTATTAAATCAACTGTAACTTAATGAGTCTACGTACGGGAAGCCGTAATCCACTTATCAACGAGCGTTTTATACTTAAACATCACAAGCTTTTAACGCGTTTTCTCTCTCTGTCTCTCTTTCGTCCCTCCTTGACATATACAAACAATAGAGGGGGGTTATGTAAACCCATGCAAGGGTATAGACTCTCGATTTTTCCGACAAAGCATATATACTTAATTGCATTTACTAAAATGATTTTTAATTGATCAAAAACGATGATTGTATGATACTTAGAACTTACTATTTACGTCAATCAAAAAACAAAAAATTTTTTTTTCTCTTACAAAATATGTTAATATACTTAGTTGGAAATTTCGAGATAATCCCTCTACAACTTAATAAAAGATGATAATATTAGTAAGTGTTCATGATCAATATCGAGACTATCAAGAGACGGAGGACGGAGGTTTTCAGTACACACAAACACAAATTTATTTCATTGTTTCGTCACCATAGAGTTCCCATTTCACTTAATATTATTCCGAACTTTTAGAAGAGCATGAAACAGCATAATTTCACCTTTAACAAAGCAATTACAGCATCGTCTCTGTACTTAAAACGTTTTAACTTGTATAAAGTACTTACTTGTAATTTTTTTTTTTTTTTCAGCAATTCATTCAATTTTTATAACAGGCGTCTCAATTTGAGTACATATCGTACGTACTATTTTTTTCTCTTTGATCCAGTGTGCAACTGATGTATAGCACATCCACTTTTTAGCTCAGTTTGTTCGGTATTTTGGTTTTTATGGCTTGGTTCACAGTGCGTATAAAGTATATTGTTCACCTTATACTTATAGCCTTTACATTTATTAGGTACACAAAATTTCGATATCGATACATGTACGCAATAACGTAAGACACTCATTAGTATTAATAGTTAAGATATACATTGTGTACCTATAATTAAAATAATTCGAATTTCACTATTGTTCTAGACTTAGTGTATATTTATGTACCAGCAGGCGTACTTATTATTGTCTGCTGTTGTCAGAACGCGGGTTCCAAACAAACTGCGGATCATATAATGGGTATGGTGGTTAATCCTCTTCAGTGCTTAAAAATAAAAAAACTCATATCAGCGCCATCTAGCGGTATTATTTTTCTCGGCTTTTTGCGAAAAGTAGGCCTAAAAACTTGGATTCTTGGGCTGTATTCCGCAAATGCTGCCAGCAGTTAAGTTACGTATAGGTCGTGGTTATGCCGCATGGTCGGGTGGAGCTAGCGTCAACCTGTACTTACTAACTGTCGGTGGGTTCCACATTTCGCATGTCAACAAACTTCGATATTTTTTGCTGTTTCATTCCCATGCCACCCGATATTTCGGAGTTGGTTGACATGCGAAACCCACCGAGCCCAACACTTCATGCGGCGTTACACCGACCTACGTAACTTAACTGCTGGCAATAGACTGGACTTGCCGCAAACAGCACAAACACTATTAACTATTCATTTTACTTCTTTAATATTAGTTGCGGCTGGTTTATAATTTATTAAATGGCTCTAAGCCTAATGCTCTGTTTCAGAATTTCAGAGGCCTTTTTTGGCGAAAAAGTAAAAACCGCTAGATGGCGCTAATCCAAATAATTATTAATATATACTCACAGTAGAGCCATGTAATCAAGTATAAACCAGCCGCAACTAATCTTACAGATATAAAATAAAAATTTGGCATTGTTTGTTTTATTTGCGGCAATTGTGCAAATTAGTATAGATACTTACATAGTTTAATAAAATCGACCTTATGGCACTACTTATAAGTGATTACTATAATTACTACACATAAGACTTCACGTATATCTTACACCATGCTCTCTTTACCAGAATGATAAATTCAGAGCAAAAAATATCGAAGTTTGTTGACATGCGGAACGCGGAACCCACTGACAGTTTAGTACAAGCTGACGCTAGCGCTGCCCGACTATGCACTCGTTACCACGATCTACGTAACTTAACTGCTGGCAGCAGTGGCAGTAGCATTTGCGGAATACGCAGCCTGCGTGTACTGTAGTGTCAGTAGGTTTGTTTGGGGCTTTGCTCGGAGCAATGTTTGAAGTTCCTCTGCTTCTCAGCTTCTCCGCAGTTGCTTTCATAACATAGGCCCGCGAAGTGAAAAAAAGTTATATGGTACGGCTCCAGGGTCATGCACTGTTGTAATACTATGCAGCTCGAAGCATTAATGCATGTGCCTTGCCGTGAAGCTCGGAGAGCTGTTCCAACTTCCAACTGTTCCAAGCCATAAACGAACCTAGTATGCACATTGGTGTTAGTAAAGTAGCTTTTGCTTGCGTTCACTGAACGCCGTTCAGCTGTCAGATATACTCATACTCACAGTGTCACACTTAAGAGCTTTCGATATAATAATAATTTAAGCTTGCCGCGAGTGCCGCGACTGTCTGAGTCCAGATAACATGTCCGTCGATGCCGAGGACCCTGCACTCGCTCGCCGTTATCCTGGACTCAGCTTGAAAGTATATCCCGAGGTTCGTAAGCTCTACTCTTGTCGTTAGTCGTTATACGTGCTCCGACACTCCCGCACATTCATCCTTCGATCTCCATTTTTATGTTTTTCAATAAGTTACTTATCAACACTCTTTTAGCTGTCTGTAATCTGTTCAATGGTATAACGTGAAACCTTCTTACAGATTGTCACGATGGTTCGGAGCTGCTCTGTTTTCTCGACTGCAGCCTTAATGGAAAAAAGGAATCATCTTCGATTCACCCTTGGAGGCGATCCCAGATCCAAGGGTCGCTGGTAAGCATCTGAAAAAGTCCTCCCTCGGAGCTTCAAGAGCTTGTAGCTCTCTAGAGCCGTCGAGGTTGAGGAGACGCAAAAGGGAGTAATGCTGGAAATCGGTCTGCGAGTCGTCAGAGGCGGCGATTGGAAGTGGAACGATCAGGATGGTGGTGAAGGCCATGCGGGAACAGTCGTGGAAATCGGTAAGCCAGTCTGCGGTGCTGGGAGCAGCAGCGGGGCCTCGAATTCGTCGCCGCACGCCGCTAACAAGACGCCCGATAAGGTAAACGCTACTGAATTTACGAGTATTGGAGACGGTATGTTATTCTAAAAAATTATTAACTAATGAACTTGGTGATTGCAAGATAGACTGTTATTGTGCAATGGGACCACGGCTCCAAGAGCAACTACCGCGTTGGCTACCAGGACGCGTACGATCTCTTCATTTTTGACAACGCAGCGACCGGGGTCAGGCACTCAAACATCATTTGCGATGGCTGCAAAAGCCACGGCATCGTTGGCATGCGCTGGAAGTGCTCACAGTGCTTCGATTACGATTTATGCACTCAGTGCTACATGTCGGACGTGCACGACATCAAGCATGCCTTTCAGAGGCTTCTCACCCCGAATTCAGCAGGGTCGGTTGTTGCTTCTTCAACTGTGCGTGGATTATTATGCGCGATAATAATTATTCTGTTTTTGCAGGGTGCAGTTGACCACCAGAGAGAATTGTACAAAAATAGCGCTAAAGGGAATCTTCATTGGGGCCAAAGTCAAAAGGGGGCCGGACTGGGAGTGGGGCAATCAGGACGGCGGCCAGGGAAAAACTGGGAGAGTCATAGACATAAGGGGCTGGGACAACGAAAGCAGATCTGTCGCTACTGTAACGTGGAGCTCCGGGAATACCAACGTTTACAGATTGGGGTATAAAGGCTGTGTAGATTTGTGTTACGTCGAGGAAAGCACCTGTGGCACGTACTACAAGGAACACCTGCCCCTATTGGGTCAATATTTACCGACCGTCGTGGCACCTTCGAACGACAATGCCGCTCTCAGTACATTGAACGGAAGTAATCCTTGTAACGCTGCATTTGTCGTTGGAGATAGAGTGAAAGTTGTGGTGGACGTCGAAACATTAAGAACTATGCAAGCCGGCCATGGTGGCTGGAATCCGAGGATGGCCGAGTACATAGGAAAGGTACTGACGAAAATTCATATAAAATCACACACTTCAACATTCATCATGTTTTTTAAAATTATTTTTCTTGCTTGCAACTGTTGTAGATTGGTACTGTTCATCGAATTACCGATAAGGGTGATATTCGCGTGCAATATGAAGGCTTTCACAAATGGACTTTTCATCCGGGAGCGTTAACAATAGTCAAGTGTAAAGAACATTTCGCCCTTGGCGATATGGTTAGAGTAAAATTAGATGCCGACGCGGTTAAGCATTATCAGAGAGGTCATGGCGAGTGGATAGATGTTATGAAACCTGTGTGTAGCAACAGAAATAATATACAATATTATAGTGAGTAATTGTAAAATCATGGCTTAATCGTCAAATGTTTTTTTTTTTTTTCAGGCTCTAGGTAAAACCGGCAAAGTCATTAAAATATACGGTGATGGGGACTTGAGAGTACAAATAGATGGTCACACGTGGATCTTTAATCCGCTTAGCGTTACTTTAATTCCAGCAGATTTTGAGTCCAAGAGCGCTACTGGTGGTACCGATCCTATTACTAGAGGTAGGTTGGCATTGAACTCGTTACCAATATACTTTTCTGTAGATACATCCGAGTCAAAAAGTATCTTGCAACAATCAATAAACTGCAGGTACGGCCAACGAGCATCCAGAGGTCGAAAAGGTGCTAAGAGAGGCGGCGAGAGGCAACGCGGGTATTCCCGCAGTGAAAGAGTTCCTAAGGAAATATCCCGGACGGGTAGATGCTCGAGGCGGGCCCGACGGCGGAAGGAAGACTTGCTTGCAGGTCGCTGCCCATCAGGGACAACGGGAGCTGTGCGTTCTTCTTTTAAACGCGGGAGCCTCTCTCTTTGCAGTCGATGAGGATGGCGATACGCCCCTTCATTATGCGGCTTTTGGGTTCGTTATTTACAAATGATGGAAACGAATGAGTATACCAACAAATTAGTTACAAAAATCTGCGGTCGTTACAGCAATCAACCGGAAATAATGGAGCTGTTGCTTGCGCGTGGTGCCGCGATCGACGCGGTGAACAACGGAAAGTGCAGCGCTCTCCACGTAGCCGTGAACAAACAGCATCTGGATTGCGTGAAAGCGCTTATCCGGCACAACTGTAGCGTTAATTTGCAAGACTCGTACGGCGACACGAGCTTGCACGACGCTATCGGGAAAGAAGCCGTTGCCATAATCGACGCCCTCTGCCATTGCGAGCGCATCGACTTTACATTGCGCAACAAGCGTGGCTTCAACGTTCTACATCACGCCGCGCTCAAGGGAAACGCGCAGTAAGTTGTTCTTTTATTCCCATTTTTCATTGCAAAAAGAAACATTTAGAGCAGCCCACACCTCAAATTAGCTTCTTATCTATACCGAGTTACAACCCTCCTCATGCATAAAACTTTCAGCGCTATGAAAGTACTGGTGCAGCGAGCGTGCCAGCTGATCGACGTGAAAAAGGAGGATGGCTTTGCAGCCCTACACCTGGCTGCGCTAAACGGGCACCGGGAAGTAGCAATACTATTAATCACGGCGACGGGTGGTCGAGCACGGATAGAGTTCCGCAACAACCGCAAGCAAACCCCGCTTCACCTAGCCGCCTCCCAATTTCAGTGGAGCGTAGTCGAGCTTTTGGTTGTCAACTACGGCGCCGACATCTCAAGCACCGACGAGGACGGCGACACGGCCCTCCACTTCGCCATAGCCAAGTGCCAGTGCCAGGCCAACAGCGTCACTGTGCCCAGCTGTCGCGACGCTCCCCTTTTGCACGCGGTGAGGAGCTCAATTTTGCTTTTTATACATTTGAAAATACAGGTTTAATATTAATCCCTGGGTGTATATTGTGGTGCAGATACATCAAAGCTTGATGCAGCAGGGAGTGAGAACGGAGCTGACTCTCGCATGCTTCTTGATGAGCGTCGATAGCAGTGGCCTGATGTTTGAGCAAGCAAAGAACTCCAAAGGGCTGACGCCTCAGGATCTTTTGCTGGCTGACGCGACGCTTGCACCGTTTGTTAACGTCGTCAAATCATACCGGCAGCAATCCCACGGTAGCAGTAACAGACCGGTCTCCGACAACGACAGCTCGGAGCCGCCGATTTACCAGATCGAAACGGCCCCGTCGCAGCCCACGAGCGCGGACAACGAAATGTCCATCAGGAGCTCGACTCATGCCCCTTCGGCCGACTGTAACACTTGCCAGAGGCGCTCTGGCGCTCCCAATCCTGTCAATCAGGAGAACCAATTGGGTCCAGGCGAGAGCGGCGGATCGATAAACTGCGCGCACTGTGGTTGCTCTTTTGGCAAGCCAACGGCTGTACTGCAAAGTAAGAATCGCGTGGTTTTTATTTTATTTGCTGTTGCATTCCACAATTATGTGAAAAATCGTGAACTTATTCTTTCTTAGATTCACACTTGAACAGGGAGGAGTCGGAGGACGAGGTTGAGCGAGAAAAAGCGAAAAACGCGTATCCGGACAAAAATAAGGATGACAAGACGGTGAAGGACAAGGATTTGGAGAGATTGCGGTACTTGGAAACGAGAATAGCAGATCTCGAGGAGGCGAATATGTGCAGTATCTGCATGGAGCGTCGACGTAACGTGGCTTTTCTCTGCGGTCATGGGGCCTGCGAGCATTGCGCGGCACCTTTGAAAACGTGTCATATGTGCCGCCAAGCCATTACTAAAAAAATCAATTTGTACTGAAGAGGCTCTCTGGATGTGTGAGCTTGTTAAAAACAAACAATAATACATGCGTCTTTAGGTATTACGTAGAATTAAATTCGTCAACATCACGTTAAATTTTTGTTTGTTGAATACTGTGTTTAATCTTCCAAAAAATTTGTTTGGTTTATTAATAAAAATTTTTTCTATAACGACTGATAGTTATTTGTTTACTCCGTACTCAGTATTCAACAAACGAAAAAAAAGTAAATGGTAAATGTTGTCATGTAATCAATGACCGATAATGATCGATGCAAGTTTTATAGCCCCCATAACTGGAAACTGCCAAAACACTTTATATTATGAAATTTCAATTTTTTACCGTATCTACGTACCATATCGTGCCATATGATTAACAAATTTAGAGAACATTTGTAACGATTTCGCAAGGTGCAAGTCGATGCGCTATTTTATAAGTAACCATCACGTTTCCCGTCAATATAAATAGTTGAATAAATTCCGACTTCCGACATGCGTTCTCATATTTTTCTTGTTAGGACATAGCCTTGTCTTGCTGTTGACCCGCAGTTATAACCGAAGTTTATAAATCAGCGCGTGTGACGACATTATTATGTCCTTTCGGATAAACTTTTTGTTAGATGTATTTGTGACCCCAAAAAATTATGAATTTAATAAATAGTTACAAGAAATTTGTAATACCTAACATTCGCAACTCAATAAAAGCGGCCTTGACGCGTTTTTCGCAGCGCGTCATATCTTCTGCGACATATCCCTATTTTATTTGAATCAACTCATCTAATGAGGTTGATAATTTTTTTGCTAGAACTTTTGGTAAACATTGGGATGACAACCGTCCACTCAGTCTAGCTGTGTACCTGAACAAAAATAATAAATTTTTAAAAAAAATGTGTAAAAAAGTAGGGGCTGCGCATTCCAGAAGTCGAGAAAAAAATTATTAAAATACTCTTCAAGTCATTCAATGATTTTTTATGGCTTTAAGGTTTATAGAGATATTAAAATGACTTTAGCCAACTTTTATGTATCAAGTGAAGGTTTCCGATGTATTATTAAAATAAACTTTACCTTACGATATAGGCCTTTTTAAAAACTGGCTTCTTGAAAAAGCTGGAAGTAAAAAAGTGGTATACGCACAACACTTGTTACGTCAGAGTCTTTTAAAGTCATAAAAATTTCAAAGTCTCAAAAAGACTTTGAATTTTTTTTTTTTTTTTTTTAAGCTTTAAAGCGTATGCTACCTCTTGGGCACAGACTACGCCGAAAAAAATATCAGTCGTAGCTTATAAAGCGATATCGTTGAGAATTCAGGCGTGAAAAATAACAAACTCGACGGGTCCCAGGCGTTCCAATCGGGATGGTGTACATGATGTATTATTTTTTCAAGAAACTTTTAAATTTTCTTAGAACCACTTTTTCAAATACTGTTTATTTTTTAATTAATTTAGCTTAGCATGTTATGGCTTCAATAAAGATTTTTTATCTATTGAAATTAACTTATTTTGTACCACTAATTCAAGCCACAATTTGTTTACGTCTGTACAAATGTGACGATGACCGTCATAAGCTTTTCAGGCATATTTTTATCGTACTTACCAATAGAAGCTTGCTGTCTATACTAACGTAGCATTGCATGAAATATACTTTATCTAAGTATTTGTATCTAACTGATAATTTTAGCTACGGTCACAATAAACGCAAAGGATAAGAGCAAAAGGTAAGCATTGGATCTTACAGCGAGAAAAAAATTGTGTATGTTGCTTCCATGGATGTGGATGATAAGTCAGGATCGTATCAAGTGTTCTAGTACGTTATTGACTTCTTTGTCCAAATCAGGTTTCCTCCAAGGGTCTTGTTACTCTCATGGCTAAAAATTTTCCCTAACAGCACTTTGAGAGTTAGCAGAATTTCATACGAAAGTAAATAAGATTTATTTCAAAGTTGATGAAAAAAAAAAAAAAAATCGTATTTCTTAGCATATTTTTTATTAAATTTTGTATATGCACTGTACTGCTGTAATGTTTATTGTACATTATTTGTAAATATTTTTATCTCAAATTAATTTTCAACTATACTTTAGAGTGATGTCACTTATTAATTTTAGAAATTTTCTGGTATAATTGTTATTGATATACGTTCTAGTTGTTCAAGATGTTCATGTTTCAATGTATCAACAACTGAAGAATCACGTTGTGGTGAATTTCTCTCGCAACATCAAAGAGACCACGGGTTATTTTTACAATTTTCATTTTATTTTCTTTAATAATCAATTGTATTTCAATCACGAAACCTATACGTACTACAAAAATGATTTACAATACAAAACTGTGAACAGCGCAATGAAATAATCAACAAAAACCTCAATTTTACCATTCAATAGAATCACTTTAGCATATTTTTCTAATCACATTTCATTAAAAATTGATTATTAGAATAGATACAAATACAACTTGCAAGAGATCGCACAAGAGATGCTCGTCAACTAATTTCATCTAATGTACCTTACTAAATAGAGCGATAATAGTAACAACAATGATAACACAAGCACACAACATATAACGCCGTGGTCGTGACGCTCAAACATCATGTTTAAACGAAATTGCAATAAGACTTGACTTAGCAAGCAGTTCTTATTTATTTATTTTGGTACTTGTCAATAGTATATGTTACAACATGATAAAAATAATAATTTTAATAATAATGACCATAGCAATAGTAAAAATAAAATGAATAAAGTAATAATAGTAATAATAATGATCAAAGTAAAACCTAAATCTAATGCTAAAAATGTATTGTATAACGTACTATTTGATAAACTTAAACGCTTCATGTTACATCCGGTCATTCAAAGAATTTTTGTTTTTTTTTGTCTTTTTTTTTACTGTTTTTTGTCTAAACCCTACTTATTAGGACCTGCTCCTGAATTTACATTCATTTTTTTTTCTTCATAATATAGCATTCAAATTTTTTACCTATAAATCGATGGCGCAAAGTATTTGTATTATAAAACGCTTAGTGTTTGAAGGGCAAGTCATCAAGACGTAAGGATCATAAGCCACTTAAATAATGTTCACTGTAGTGGAATAATAAAAGAATTTCATCAATATTACAATAAAAGAAGATCCTTCGCGTACACATGTTCGTGCATTTACGCTCACGTGCGAGAATATAATATGTACTAATACCGTTAATCGATCTGCCCTTCGACATAATTATCGAAACTTCCAAGTATGAGACGTTTTAAACGTGTGTTAGTATTTATTCAAATACACGACTGCTTTGCAAATCCGTAAATCAACCTACTACAAAAACTACGCAAAATCAAAAAGTCCGAATACCGCGCAACCTTTAAGAATCGTTGTGTTCATCATATAAAAAACATGAAAAAAAATATGAGTACTAAAAATTCTTAAAAGTCATTCGCAATATAACAGCAAAACTCTAGCAGTAGGTATACATGTAATAATAGTATAATAATAATAATAATAATAATATAACTTGGAAAAACAAGTGCCTTAAAAGGAACAAAAGCGTCACAGCACACAGATATTAAATGTCTAACATTAAATGTCTACCGTAGTAAGTCGGATGACTCTTTGCCGATGATCTGTACACGCACACACAGTTGTAGTTTTTCAGCAGTACCCGGACTCCTTAATTTAATGTTATAATTGCAAAGAGAGATTACACATGTGTTTTCCTTTTGATCACGGGAATTCGATTAACAGCAAGCAGCAGGCCGCAGACCGCTCTGCTCACGAGCCAACATTATCGATAATAATTAGTATATATATATATAAGTCGTCTGGCAGAACCGGCTAGCACAACAGCAGGATCACTGTTTGGTTTAAAAGTTCGTTATCATTGGATTTGAGCAGTAATAATGAAGAAATCGTGTATTATCAATGCTCGATGCCTCGATGCTTGTTAGGCGACTACGGGCTCGGGACTGCAAGGCTGGAGCTCGGGCTCGTTCTGAGGATCGCTCGGGGACTTGCCGCCACTCGAGCTGGACGACGTGTTGCTGGCGTTGGGGTCTGGCGTGACGGCCGCCCATTTCGTCGTGTAGGGTGCGGCGCGCGCTTGCCTCCTGGCGCGCATCTTTTCACGGCGCTGCTCCATCACCAAACGAAGCCGTCGCATTTTTCCCTTGGTCGCCTCGTTTTCTTTGGAAAGTTCTTCTGAAAGCATCACAAATACTTGATAAGAAAACTGCCAAGTTAGAAAAAGAAAAGAAGAAAAATTGTAAGTAGCAACTGAAACTTACCACTGGTGTACCCGGATGTTGCCGTGGTCGAGAAGGAGGAGTCGGAACACACGGGAGCGGCGTCGGAAATCGAATTCGCGTTGGACGCCACCGCAGCCGCGGCGGCCGACGTCGCTGCCGAACTATTTGACGAGACAGTGAACATCGAGCTGGCTGGTGATTGCTGTTGTTGGTGTTGCTGCTGCTGATGCTGATGCAGCTGCGAGGCAGTGGGAACGGAGCCCGGGGCTCCGGGTGCGGTTGCCAAACGATGACTGCTCGGTTGCCTGTGATGATACCTGTAGTGACCGGCTGTCGTGGCCGGGGTGGCGCACAGCAGATCGTTCAGTATGTGGATGATCGTGCTGATGTCTCGCTTCGGTCGGCCGTGTCGGTCCTGCAGCGCTGGGTTGAGGGTGCCGCTAAACGTACCCGTGTAAACACCCTTACCGTGGTGGTGCATGCTCTCGATGATTGCTCCCTGGCGACGTTTGGCGTTTTCCTGGCGAGATTTCAACCAATAATTATATAACCATGATTTTAATAATTAATTACAACAGAGGGTATCGAAAAAGGGTGGTAAAATAGTAGTTACCTCGGAGGAGAGCTGTTTGAGCTTCTGGGTGAGATTCCTCGAGGCCTCGACGAGCGCTCGGGTGTCGAGGGTAGCCGTGGGATTGGAGCTCGGGTCAACAGCAGCAGCAGCAGCTGCGGCGGTGGCGGCAGCTGCTGCAACTTCCGGACTCTCGAGGTACGTGGGCGTCGTCGGGGTCGTCGGCGTCGACGGTACCGACGAACTGTTACCGCTGCTAAAGCTACTGCTGGTGCTGCCAGTTGGACTCGAGGGCATGCTGCCCCCGCTTTCCTGCATCAGGGAATTGTGATAGACGTGCTGGGGGGAAGGTGAGGGAGGAACAAGGCTGCCGGCGGCGCATGGCTTCTTCTTTGGTGTCGACAAGGTGGATTTCGAGCAGTCGCACTGGCCGAGTATCAAACCCGAGAACTCGGAACATTTGGACTGTTGGACTGCTGCTGCTGCTGCTGCTGCTGCTGACGATGATGTTTCTGTGGGGCTCGTGTGGGTTGCCAACGCCTCCGCTGGCTCGGCGGTGCAGGACGGACAAGGCGGCTTCGACGCTGCAAACACAACGTGTCGCGTGGTTATATATACAATTCAATAAACAAAGTGTAAAGGCAATGATACAACACAATCCCAGCAGGTAGTATTTACCTTGTCCGATTTTCCGAACCCTGTGGTGGTGATGGTGATGATGGTGGTGGTGGTGGTGGTGGTGATGGTGATGGTGATAGGGCGGGTTCCGATGATGGCGCGAGGACGAGGAGACCGTGCGGTTCTGTTGTTGTAAACCAACGGCGACGGACGTCTGCTTGGAGGTCGTGCCGGGTGGCGTGGCGGGGGGCGTCATCGGCTGGGACTGTACCACCGCGGCTGGGCTCGACGCCGTGACGGACGTCGCGTGCTGGAAGTGCTGGAACGGGGGAAAGTGACAGCAGGGACCGAGCCCGGGCGTGTTGGGCGAAGTCGGCGTGTTGGGCGGGCTCAAGCTCGGGAAAAAGTTGGAGCTTATGACCGTAGGCGCGGCCGACGAGAGCGAAGCCAGGGAAATCTTTGGCGGGCAGCCCTGCGGCGTCGACACCAGCGATTGCACCGTGGCTGAGCGCCTAATGATAATTTGAAAAAAAAAAAAAAAAAACAACAATTAATCGTTTGTATTTATAAAAAAGTCAATAGACGCTGACGACGACGACAACTCACCTGGAGGGTGGCTCGAGGGTCGGCTCGGACGGCGCCACAGTGGTGGGACCGGCCGAGTGGGCAGTAGTCGTGGGTGGTGGCTGAGGAGGCGGTGGTGCCTGCGAGGGGCTCGGCCCCGTTACGCTGCTGCTGCTGCCATTGGTACTCGTAGCGGTGCTGGTAGTGTTAGTGGCGGCCGGCGTCACAGTTGACAGCTGCAGCTGGATGAGCATCATGTGATCGCCCAGGCGCATCGTGAGGTTGAGGGGCGCCTTGCCCGAGAGGAAGTCGTTGACCTGCGAGTCGCTGAGGCTCTCCAGGGCCTGCATGACGCTCTGCTCCGGGCGTTGGGCCTGCAATCGAGACGATTTTATTGTTATTTATTTTTTTGTTTCATCTTTACCACGAGAGAGGCTCGTGGCCTTTGCTCGCATACGTTTGCCCTGTATAACCATTTTACGAACGACGCCCGCAGCGGTGTACGATACACGTATGTGTGTATATATATATATATATATACACGTATATATAGCTAT